CCATAGAGTGGAGGTGTTGAGTTCTCTTTCCATAGCTGATGTGTGATAGTGTCTGTAGGGCTCATTGGTACTGATTTCTGCTGTTACAGAAACACTGGAAAGTTCAGGATTAAGAACATTTAATAAGCTTTATTGTTCGTGAAGAATTCTTTAAAAATACCTATTTTAAAAACTAATACATGCACACAATAAATTCAGCTATAAATGGGTAAAGATTGAAAAACTTCTCACCCCTAAGGTGTTTTCTGCTATATATGGCATAGCTTCCTGGCAATAATGTGTTCTGTACATGCACATGGGTACGTTGTGGCAAAACTCTAGGAGGTGAACTCACATACATCCCAGTATTTGAGCACCATGAAGAGGGTGTTCTGGTACATGGTTCTTTCTTGCATTTTTCTACTTTTCTTGGAGACCATCCCATATCTGTAGATAGAGGCACCTCATTTTAACAGTTGTGTACTGTTGCCAACCATCACTTCAGTCAGTTCCCTTGTGATGAAGCTAAGGATGTTGCTGGTCTTTTGCTATGTAAAGCTCCAGTTGTACTTACAGGCTGCTCCCTCAGTATGTACTTGGTGCCAGAGGGCTGTATGCATTTAGAAATTTGATAGGTAAGGCCAGGTTGATGAACCTTTTCTCATACCCTTGCCAACCCAGAGTATTTTCTAGCTTTGAGTTTGACCTGTAACTGAAAAATGTCAATTTGGCAATTTTAATTTCTATTGATGAATGAAACCAAGACTGATTGCTATCAATTTCCAGGATATGTTGGTAGTGCAGGAAATCATGGTGAAGCAGAGACTATAGAATACATTATACCGGCTTCCCAGTGAGGATGCCAGTAAATGTCACTGTTACTTAAAAAAGAGAAAACAGGAAGGAGAGCTCAGAATCTAATGGAAGGGGCTCTTACAGGGAGAGGAAACAAAGAGTGAACAGAGCTGTTTCCCTGAACACACTTTGCCTTGCTTGGCCTTTTGAGTGGCCTTGGTAAAAGTTTATAGGATTTTGAAAATTTGAAGCACAAAACACATATCCATTGTAATTAGGTTAAAATTATTAGAAACCAAGATTTTAACCCAGTTTAAATTTTATTTAAATTTGACCATGAAATGTTGTTGTAAACTGTTCATGTAGCGCTCTGCTCAGAAGTCCCAGAAATGATCCCTTATACGTTCAGTTCAGTAACAGCACTGTGCTGTAGCAGTAACCTTATATGTAACAGCCTGGGGCAGCCACCAGCTCAGGGCCAGAATTTGGTCTCCAAATGCTCACTTTTCAGCCAAAAGGAGATAGATTCTCTTGTAGGAGTAGCTGATCTTGGGTTTGGAACAGGAGTGTGTGGAGGAGGCACCTGGAGCGTCTTGCACTGGAAAGTATGGAAAAATCTCCAAGGCTTTTGGGGGTTGTCTCAGGACATGGCTACCAACTTGAAGGCTTTTGTACAATTCAGTCAGCATGTCCAACCTTTTGATATTGTGACACTTTCATCTATGGAGTTCACAGGTGAGATCACTCACTGCTGAGTTATTAAAAAAGAGTTGCAAAAGGAATCTCACAGTGTCTTAAGTTTATAGCTCTGTGCGGGCCACATTCTAGCCACCCTTGGTGCATGCCGGTTCCAGGCCCAGGGTAAACATTGCTTGACTGTGCAACAGATGAGATGAAGAGGGCAACTCCCCTTCCGAAGCTGACCTGGGCTCACGGCATGGGGGTGGGGGCATGAGCTGAAAGTTGGGTTTCTCACAGACGGTGGTAAAGGAAGACAAAGCAGAGGGAAAAACAAAATAAAAAAACCTGGATCACTGCTGCCTGTACAACCCTCAGCCAACAGAAATGGCGCCTTCTCTGCCCAGGGCAGATACAAAATCCAAACAACTGCCCCACTTCTGACAGGGTTTCTCTTGTAGGAGTAGCTGATCTTGGGTTTGGAACAGGAGTGTGTGGAGGAGGCACCTGGAGCGTCTTGCACTGGAAAGTATGGAAAAATCTCCAAGGCTTTTGGGGTTGTCTCAGGACATGGCTACCAACTTGAAGGCTTCTGTACAATTCAGTCAGCATGTCCAACCTTTTGATATTGTGACACTGTCATCTATGGAGTTCACAGGTGAGATCACTCACTGTGCTGAGTTATTAAAAAAGAGTCGCAAAAGGAATCTCACAGTGTCTTAAGTTTATAGCTCTGTGTGGCCACATTCTAGCCGCCCTTGGTGCATGCCGGTTCCAGGCCCAGGGTAAACATTGCCTGACTGTGCGACAGATGAGATGAAGAGGCAACTCCCCTTCCGAAGCTGACCTGGGCTCACGGCGTGGGGTGGGGGATGAGCTGAAAGCTGGGTTTCTCACAGACGGTGGTAAAGGAAGACAAAGCAGAGGGAAAAACAAAATAAACCCGGATCACTGCTGCCTGCACAGCCCTCAGCCAACAGAAATGGCCCCTCCTCTGCCCAGGGCAGATACAAAATCCAAACAACTGCCCCACTCCTGACAGGGGCCAGTTCTGAGAAGCCCCTGCCCACAAGTCACCAAACTAAGGCCCAGGTCCTGAAGGTTTCTGGTAACTATGTTGAGGTGCCCAGTGTTCCCTTCGTGTGTGCCCTCCTGCAAAGAATAATAACTTCCTGTGTTTAACTACAGGTTCATTCATGTTGGGCTTTGGCCGAAGGCCACCAAAGGATGCACAATCTGAGTGTGAGTGACAGCATCTATAAAGGAAAAATACATTGACCTGATAAGAGTGCATTCGGCAGGATTCAAAATGTAGGGAATTTTACAGGACAAATAGCACAGGGCAAGGGGAAAAAATAGGAAGCCAGTGCTCAGAGACTCAAGACTGCTAACCTTTGGGTCCTGGGTACCAAAGTCAGTGTATAACAAGACATCTTTTGAGACAGTTAGGGAGATTGGAATATTTACTAGATGATATTAAGAAATTAATTTGGGGGCTGGAAAGATGATTTGGCAGTTAAGAGCACTGGCTGCTCTTGCAGAGGACCCAGGTTGGGTTCCCAGCACCCACATGTGTGCCAAACACTATAACTCTAGTTCCAGGAGATCCGACACCCGCTTCTGGCCTCCACAGGCATTGTACACATGGACACACATATCCATGCAGGTGAAACACTCATACACATAAAAAAAATATAATTTGGGGGCTGGAGAGATGGCTCAGCAGTTAAGAACACTGGTTGTTCTTGCAGAGGACCTGGGTTTGAATCCCAGCACCCACATAGCAGCTAACAACTGTCTGTAACTCCAGTTCCAGGGGATCCGACAGCCTCTTCTGTCCTCCATGGGCATTGTATGACACAGGTGCACTTACCTACATGCAGGCATAACACTCATACACATAAAAATAAATAAAATTTAAAAAATTAATTAAAAAATTAGTGATTTTGTTTGGCAGTGATTTCACAGAGGCTAGATTCTTAAAAAGTCTCTGTTTACATATAAAATGATGTGGTCTGGAGTTCGCTTTTAAGTACTTTTAGGAGGGCTAGTGGATTGGCTGAATGATCCAAGTTAGCCATGTGTTGACAGCTGTTGAAATGGGGTGATGCATGCGCGGCTGTGCAGGTCTGCCTTTGCTGCATGTCAGTTTTTGAAGTTCCTGTAATAAGCTGTTGTTAAATGCATTTGTATTTCTTTTTCTGTGAATTTGCCTGTTCTTGTCACTTTTTCTTTTTGTTGGCTTTTGTCTAGTTTTCTTTATAAAGGTTCTTTCAGCGATACAAGAATGAGTCTTTTGTCATGTTTTGCAGATATTTTTCATTTGTCTTCTGTGTTCATGGTGCTTTTCTTTCCTTTTTTACAACCTGTGGTTGTATTTTCATTTCTATTTTTTCAATTTACCAATATTCTTTATGGCTTAAGTGTTTTGTGCGTTGCTTATAAAAAGCTTTTTTCAGAGATTCTGAGTTCTTTCATGTTTTCACTAGTTTTTAAATGACTGTAGAACTCCTTACTTGATCATTCTGATTTTCTTAGCATGTGGAGGATATTCTGCCTAGAGTTCTGCCCCCAAATCTATCAGGAAAAATGCTCCGTGGCTGTCCTGGGTGGATAGCAGTAATTTCCTCATGAACACCTGGAAGAACAACTAAATAGGTTTGGGGGCTGAACTGCTCCACATGAGTTAGTGAGGGCTGTGTCAGAGCTAAAAGGTTTTATAACTGAGTACTGTCAAATATCATGAATACAGGTTGACATTTCTGATTTTAGAGGTTTTAGCATTCTCTTCCCCCAAACAAGTTTAGCCCTTTTCCTTGGGTGAGGGTCCAGAGCCAGTTTCCCTTTGCAGGCAGCATCTTCAGGCCGTCCTCTGCCTCTGACCCCCACGAGTGCTGTGGGCCCCTGGCAGCTGGGTCACTGCAGCCTCCTCACTGTTGCTTTTGGGAGATCCGTTGAAAACTCAAGAGTGGATCTTCTACACATCCAGTTAGAAAGTGTTGGTGGGGACCAACCTCCCAGATTCCTTCTGGGCTGAGAGGGAAGTGCCGGCACTGAGGAAGCTTCAGTTTGTGCTTAGAAACTTCCCTGCCATGTATTGTCTGTTCAAAACAAGTTCTGCAGCTAATGCACCTTTTAGAGCTGTTAGGAATCAGCTAGGGAAGTAAAGGTGGAGGCATAGAAGTCAAAGGAAACATTTCACTCCATCAAAATTTTTATAATTCGTTAATCTCCCTCTCTCCCTCTCTTCCTCCCCTTGTTTGTTTGTTCGTTCCTGTAGCCCCAGGTGATCTGGAACTCCCTATGTAGAGATCCACCTGCCTCTGCCTCTGCCTCCTCTCCCAAGCACTAGGATTAAAGGTGTACACCACCACACCTGACTTACGCTAAACGGGTCTAGGAAAAAAAAATCTCCGAAGCTCTCTACTTCCGTTTTTCAGTTTGAGGCTGAGTCCGCACTCGTTCTTTTCAGCTTAGGTGAAGCAGAGCGGGTTGTGGCAGCCACTGCTCAGGATCCATCGCAGTTTGTTTCGCTTTATGTTTTTCAGAAAAGAATCTGTGAACTTATGAATCATCATCTCTGGAAGTCCACTTCTGTAAGCTCGTGGTTTGCTGTGTTACATTTTGATACTCCCTTGGTTAACGTCACAAAAGGTACCATGTAGCTGTGAGCACAGTCACACTTTGATCAGTAGGTCCCTGAAACTAGGCATGGCCTGGCTGCCCCCAGCAGGAGCCCAGGCTCTCATTGTCACTTCAGGTTCTTCTGTCAAGTGGCATTGGTAATCAGAATGTGTTTACCCTTCCTGAACATTTTCACAGGTTTGTGGGGGCGGAACGAAGAAAACATGTGGAGATCCTATGTAAAGTGGCCGTGTGAACCTGGGATTCTAATTTTACTTTTCCAATAATTTCTTAGCAGTAATCAGATGCATTAATCAACTTCTGATTAGCTGGCTCATTTGTGAGAGAATTGTCTTTAGATATATTGCTTTCAAATTGTTCCTGATGTAATTTAGTAAAAGAGGTGATGGAGTTCTTTGTTGACCGATGATCTCCTGTTTGGTTTTATTCTCTGACTTAACTGTACTTTGGCAGGAAGCCATTTACACCAAAACATGTAATTACTTCTAAATCCCAAATAAGTTTGAAATACAGATGAGCCATTTGGGCCTAGGGATATGAACAGGGTGGGAAAAACCTGGTTTTGTAGGAATCATACATTTACTAATTTATACTTTTTAAACCCAGTTCCAAGGTGCACTAGAGGGAGTTTTTATGAAAACTTCAAGCAGTGGGCTTGCAGGTGACAGCAGCTTCTCTGATATGAATGACTGACTGCAGAAAGCAGGGCAAGTGCAGCCCAGCCTAGCTGCCTGGGGCTCTGTTTTCCCAAGGTTCACCGGTGGTTTCTGTGGAGACTCCAGATTGACAGCTGCTGCTTTAGATGATGGGTAGTCCTGTAACTGACCAAATTTTTTCACTCTGAACTTCCCAGTATTCATTGAAAGAGGAAACAGGAGCTTCATGACTCTCCCAGTCCTAAGAACTCCTGTCATTGGGATAGGCACTGCTCTTTGAACCTGATAGGGTTTCATTTTATAGGTGTCTGCAGCTAGCTGCCTACTGCCTTAATGAGGGCTTTGTCACAGGGTTCAGAATGCTCTTTACTCTGGACACCTTTCTGCCTGGAAGCTGATGGAACTGACCGTATTTCTGTGTGAAATCACCTGCAGCTTCGTGAGGCCAGAGGCTGTGTGCTGTGCTTCCTAGACCATCTGTTACCAATACAATTGTTTCTGCTTGGCACTGGAGACTTTTGAGGGGGAGGGTAACTTGTATAAAGTTAAAAGACCCCAAGTTATTCTATACCCCTCTGTTTAGTGGCTAAAAGTCGTCCATTGTTTTTAGAGTCAACAGTCTCATTCAGTAAAGATGGGTGCCCTTGTTATCATTGAGTTAACGCATTGTAGCTGGTGGTGGCTGTTTCTGCTTTACCCCTTCAGTCTGCTTTTGCTGCATCTGCTGAGCGATGTTCACATGCAAGCGAGCAGGCCACTCAAGTTCAAGTCCTTACTGTGACCTCAGTGAGGGACCTGCTGTGGCCTGTGAGCCTGCCCTCAGCCAGTGCACAGCCCCTGGCCAAGGCTATTCAACCACATGGCCTCCCTGTTGGCAAGCTGGGCGTTTCCTGCTTTGCACCTCTGCTCCTCCACAGCACAGTGTGGCTCATTGCCCCCACTTTGCTTAATTGTCACTTGTGAGGCTTGCTAGGCCATGGTCTTTAAAAACTATTTTGGTTTATTATTTGTGTGTGTGTGTATGTATGAGTGTGTGTGTATGTTTTGTCTTTGTGTGTATGCCACATGTGTGTGTGTGTGGGTGAATGAGGAGCTAGAAAACGGTGTCAGATCCCCTGGAATTGGAGTTACAGGCAGTTGTGAGCCTGTACATAACGGGAACTGGGACTTGAACTTAAGTCCTCTGGAGGGGGCACAAGCTCTTCAACAGAGCCATCTCTGTAGTCCTAGACCGTGTGTTAGATTCCATTCTCTCCCCAGTACTGGTTGCCTGCTTTTGCCCTTATCCTTGGATGGGTGAAATTTTAATTTTTAATTTATTTTAAAAATATTTATTTTTATTTTATGTGTATGAGTGTTATGCCTGCATGTAGGTAAGTGTACCCGTGTCCTGCAATGCCAGCGGAGGTCAGAAGAGGCTGTCAGATCCCCTGGAAGTGGAGTTATGGACAGTTGTTAGCTGCCATGTAGGTGCTGGGATTTGAACGTGGGTCATCTTCAAGAACAGTCAGTGTTCTTAACTGCTGAGCCATCTCTATAGCCCCCTAATTTTTAATTTATTTTAAATTTATGATTGTGTATGTGTGTATGATGTGTGTGGGCATTTGTGCCATGGCATACATGTGGAGATCAGGGGACAACTTGTGTCTTTGGTTCTCTCCACTTGTACATGGCTTTCAGAGATAGAACTCAGGTCACTGAATCTGTGCCTTTAATCCACTAAGCCATCTCAGCAGCCCCAAAGAAAGAGGAAGGACCTAAGTTCTTTTATTTTGTCATTTTGAGGTAGGTGTGATGAAGCCTTGGCAGGCCTCAAGCTATCTAAGGCCAAGGATGAGCTTGAAGTCCTGATCTTCCGCTTCCCATCCCTGAAGTGGCTGGGATGGCATTACAGGCCCGTGTGACTCCACCACCCTCTTTTAGGCAGTGCTGGGGATTGAACCCAGAGTCTCTGGTATGCTGGGCGGGTGCTCTATGCACTAAGCACTTATATTTTTTTACAATCATGCTTTTTTTTCTGAATAAAAGATAAGCTGCATTGAGATGGCCCACTGGGTAAAGGAGCTTGCAGTCAAGCCTGACCATGTGCGTTTAATCCTCAGAACTCACATGATGGAAACAAAGAACTGACTCCTACAAGTTGTTCTCTGACCTCTGCATTTGTACTGTAACACACATGCGCCCCCACAATGCACAAAATGAGTTAAAATGTAGTTTAAAAAAAAAGAAGGGGGACTGGAGAGATGGCTCAGCAGTTAAGAGCACTAGCTGTTCTTGCAGAGGACCTGGGTTTGATTCTTAAGCACCCACATGGCGGCTAACAACCATCTGTAACTCCAGTTCCAGGGTAATCCAGTGTCCTCTTTTGACTTCCGCAGGCATTGCATAACATGGTTGTACTTACACACATGCAGTCAGTCCACTCATATGCAAAAAATAAAAATAATAAAATATTAAAAAAAAATAGAAGTTTGGGGTATGATGGCGCATGCCTTTCATCTCAGCACTTGGGAGGCAGAGGCAGTTATATGTTAGTGAGTTCCAGGCCAACTGGGGCTACAGGGAGACACTGTCTAAAAGTACCTCAAAATAAATAAATAGTGTTCAGATGACTCAGTGGTTTAGACCACTGGCCACTCTGGCAGAGGACCTGATTTGATTTCAGTACCCACATAGCAGCTAACAACCACCCAAAATTCCAGTTCCAAGGGTTCTGACGCCCTCTTCTGGGCTCTGCAGGTGCTAGGTATGGGTGTGGTGCACTTACATGCAGGCAAAACACTCAAGCACACAAGAATGAATAAATAATAAACAAAATCTTTTTAAAAAGGGATAAGCTCCCAGAGGACAGGGCTCTTTGCTTTGCTGCTTTTGCCCTGTCTAAAGCAGTTGTGGCACAGGGTACTGGCAGCACGTCGCTGAGCAGAGGGTCAGTGAAGCAGGTAACAAAGGATGGTTACTTAACACAGCACAGACACAGTAAGAATCACAGTAGCGGTGTTGGTTCTAAACTTTAATGTGGTGTAGCGTGGTGAAAGGTGCCGGCCCTGCATTCTGGTGGTGCTGGCTGGTTACTGGTACTTGTTAGAGGGGTTGGGTCTGGTCTGAGCTGCTTGGTGGGGATGGAATTTGATCCACTGTGCACTCATTCTGACCGGATGTGACTTTGTGACAGTGACACTATAGAGTATTTACAATTTTGGGTTCAAGCTTGTATGCATTCAGTTTATAGATAGAATATATTTTTAGAATGAATTTATGCATGTTAGCAGAAACCAATAAAATATTTAAAAACAGTGGTAAAAACTAAGTCAGCCAGAAAATTCTCTTTTCACCCAGGTATTCACAGTATATTTTTATTTGGCCGATAGGTGATTTAAAATGCAGGTATCATACATGTCCCCAGCCCTGGGGGAGTTTAAAATGCAGGTGTCATACGTGTCCCCAGTCCTGGGGGAGTTTAAAATGCAGGTGTCATACGTGTCCCCAGTGCTGGGGGAGTTTAAAATGCAGGTGTCATACGTGTCCCCAGTCCTGGGGGAGTTTAAAATGCAGGTGTCATACGTGCCCCCAGTGCTGGGGGTCAGTCCTCTCGACGGCCTTCATGGTTCTGCTCTGCCCTGTGCCTCCCTGACTCTTCACTTCTCCCTTGCTTGCTCTTCCCAGCCACACTGGCCGGCATCCTTGCCACGGTTGCCAGCTGTGCTTCCATCTTGGGGTCTTCACACCTTTCCTTCTTCTAAACCCTTTGCCCCAGGCACTTCTGTAGCTGACCCCTCTCTCCTCCAAGGTTTGGCTTGAGCTGCGGAGTCCTTCTGGATGAGGCTCAGCATGACCACTAGGTCTCAGGCTGCACATTGCCCTCTGCTGCGTCCACTGTCTTCTGTCCCCTTTACCTGTTTTACTTTCCAAAGAATTAGTCATTTGCCTGTTAACGTTTGTTTTTATTACTGTCTTTTCCTGCTAGAATGTTAAGTGTCAAAAGGGTGGATCATTTCTAGAACAGTATTTGGCGCAGGGTAGATTATCGATAAATATTTATACAGTAAATGAATGAACAAACCATTAATTATTATTCACAAATTCACAGTTAATATTTGTTGCTGTGATAACTGGTGGGATTATGTAATTAACATTTGAAAAATGCCATCTCGTTTTTTCAGTGCATGTTTTTGTTGAATTTTTGTACATTCATACAATACATCATAAGCATATTTAGGCCCCGTTCCCCTATCTGTACTCCCCCCATAGCCCACCCACAGGATTTCATGAATTCTGCTATGTATGCCAAGACCCATCAAACCTAGTTTTGTATACAGATGTCCCTTGATGTGAGTTCATCCACTAGAGCCC